GAAAAAAGAAAAAAGAAAAAAGAAAAAAAGAAAAAAAAGAAAAAAAAAAGGAAAAAAAAAGAAAAAAAAAAAGGAAAAAAAAAAGGAAAAAAAAAAAAAGGAAAAAAAAAGAAAAGAAAATTGATAAAAAAAAATCGAAAAAAAAAGGGAGACCGGAGATCGTAAAACTGTCAGTCACCATTGATGGCGACGGGTTTCTGCCGCTGATGTTGTTCATACACACAAGACAATGTACGTTGGTGGTGGACAAATGCATAAACAAAACGTCTAATCCCTAGGTAGGTAGGTTGGTTGCCCCATTCCCTTCTACGGAGATCGGAGGCGAAAGAAATCGCCACCCTCGAGGTAGCACCCCATGTTCAGCCCCCTACCAAAATAAGGCCTAAGCCTACAATCCTTTTTTTCAAAATCAATTACAGACCCGGCCGTGCACCAATTCGAATCAGCCCGCACGCGTTTCAATCGATTGGTTAGTGCATACCCTGTCCCCTGCCCTCGCTTCACGAGTGACCTCCCCACTGTAGATTATTTAAGCCTCACACCTCCGTAATAATTCAAACACCAGTCAACCCCCCCTCCACACAACGCCGGAATGATGACCCCTCTTGAGGGGGACACGGGACTAACGCCAAGAACTTTCGCGGCGGTTCAGGAGAGGCGACGCCAAGAGAGGAGAGGAGAAAAAAAAAGAAGCCCGCCTCACTTCAAAAGGCTCCCAGGTTCGTTACATGTTTAGAACAAGTCGCTCCCAAAGATCTCCGCAAGGCGTTCGGGTTATACACGGGTAGAAAGCCAAAGAAGATAAAAAAAAAGTAGTAAAAAGCCAGATGATGTAGCGTCCATGGCTACAGCACATAGCCCCCAAGCCCGACCACCAGGCTCGAGCCCGTGGTCTTCTTGGCCTGCCCCCTCGAGGCCGGCGGCGCACGGGCCGACGAGGAGTGCGACGACGACAGCGGAGACTGCGACGCGTCCGGCTCGCCATCCCCGCTGGCAGCGGCGGCCGCCCTGTCGCCGCGGGTACTGTTGCCGGCGCTGGCGGCGCTGTTGCTCGACCTCAGGCGCGGGCTCCACAGCTTGCTCAGGAAGCTGCCGCGGCTCGGGCGCCTCTGGTGCCCGGACCCGGGCGGCGACCACGCCGTCGTCGGAAGCCCCGGGGTGGCGGTAGCGGGCGTGCACGCCGGCGCTGCACCCCCGCCGCTCCTGGCCCACTCTGCCTCGGACGCGCGGAGCGTGCTGCCGCCGCTGCGCCGGCCCTCGCTGGCCGGAGGGGTCGACGAAGCCGTGGCCGCCAGCGAAGTAGGGTCGGCCAGGGTTGCGAAGCTCGACGAGTAGTCCAGCTCCTCGCCGAGGAGCTGCTTGGCCTTGGGGCTGACCTTGCCCGCGCCCGTGAGGCTGCCGCCGGCGCTGCAGCTCCCGCGCCGCGCGCCCGTCGAGGGCGAGGGCATCGAGGCGAAGCGGTGTCCGGGAGAGCATAGGGAGTAGTAGACCGGCGGCGCGAACTCCCTTGGAGGGTACTGGTATTCGTCGTCCGAGGATGGGGGCGACTTGGTGGAGGAGCCGTAGTCGGAGCTACCGGGAGCGCCCTCGCCCAGTCCGCCCCCCGCCCAAGGACCGTCAGCAGGCGCCTGCTCGGCTCCGTATCCGCCGCCCGAGGGTTCAACCGTAGCTCGGCGGTGCGATGATGAGGGTGAGTCGCCATGAGCCCCAACCTCAATCTCATTGGCTCTGCCCTTCTCCAAGTCCGCCCGCCTGACAGCCGTATACTCAAAGTCTGTCGTGAACGCGTCGCCCTCGACATATGGAAGCAGCGAAGGCGCAATGGACGCCGCCACCGACGCGGCGACTGAGGGTGTACCCGACGAGGTAGACGACTGCCGCTTGGTCGCTGAGATCTTGGGCTCAGCATCGCTAGGCAGGTCCGGCACAGGCAGATCCGGCAAGGGTCGTGCGTTGAGGTTATCCTGAGAAGCACGGTCCCGGACGGCCTTGCTGGGCTGGGGGATGCGATCGCCGCTGATCAAGGCGGGTGGGCGGAGCTGGGGCGGGCTCTTGAGGTAGTAGTAGCTCTCCCCAGTCGAACTCCTTCCGCGGAGGGGATCGTTGCTCCGAAGGGACTGGGCGCCGTCGTCTTCCGAGTCGTCAAAAATGCTGTCGTCGTCGAGGCGACTACTGGAGCCCCCAGAGACACCGCCCTCTTTATCGCCAGTGGGCGCTTCGCTACTTCTCCGGCTCGAGGCAGTACGGCTCACCGTGGCCGTCTTAGTGGCGCAAGTGACGGCTTGCCGCTTTTGCATGCGCTCCTCGTCGCTCAGGTGACAGCCAAACTCTTCCATGTCCTCCCATGGGCGGCTCAGTTTAGGATTGCATCTTGGCGCGGCTCTCCCCTCGGCTGCAGTGCTCCCAGTGAGCTCGACAGGACCTTGGGGCTCATCTTGGCTGACGATCTGGAGATCGTTGAGGTTTGCCCAGGATCTATAGTGGAACCTGAATGCCGCGTAAGGAGAGTCGGAAGGGTCTGCCAGACTGTAGCTGTAGTATCTATTCTCCTCCGGTTTGCTGACCAAGCCGTCTGTCATGAGTCTGATATCTAGTGTCAGCACCGCAAGAAGCCGCGCTAAACATGGCCAAACTAGGATGGCAGTTACTTACGCGACGCCGTAGTTCTCGTGACTGCGGTACGGAAGCGGGTTCGGGGCGCGGCGAGTCCTACCGTAGGACCTAAAGACTTGGACTTCGATCAGGCCGCCCTCGCTGGCGACCGAGGTGGTCTTGTTGTCCTGGGGTAAGAAGACAAAGCGCCGCGCTTCGATGCCGGGCTGGATCATGGTCCTTCCCTGTTCGTCCGTGTACTCGTACAGCTTGCCGGGCGAGTAGAGGGCCTGGCCGGTGCTGCCTCGTCGGTTCTTTTCCAGGTCGATGCCCCAGGCGACTTCTCGACGGCCGTTCATGAAGACCTTGAAGAAGAGATACCTAACGTCCGACGAGGCACCCGGAGGAGTCGGGGGCCACAGCGTGATCTTGTAGTCTACCGAGAACCTGGCGTCTGTTGGCCGTGGATAAGCGGCAGTCGCCGTTTGCGCGGTTAGCAGGTCCCATCTCGGTACGGCGGATTCAGTCGCAGTTTTGGAATGAAACAGGCAGAGAGATGGGCACGGTTTCCTGGCGCTCATCTTTTTTCCCCTCATATTGCCGGCGCTGGCCGAAAAGTGACAGAATTGCCCTGGCGGCCAACACCGAGACAGGGCTCGAGCTGAGCGCCATCAAGGACAAAGAAAACCCACCAGAAAAAGCAAACAGAGCGGGCATGAGGACGGGTAGGAACATACAGGGCTGGGATGCAATGTAAACCGAGATTCTAGAATCTTGTTTCGGGGCCGTGCTGTGTCTCGGTCGTGCCGCTGCTGCCGTCTCTTGCTTCTCGGCCTGGCTCGTCTCGCCATCTTGCTCGCTCTCGGCGGCAGCAGCGACACGGTCCGGCGTGGCCGACGAACTCTCTGGGTGCGGGTACTCCTCCAGAGGCCGGATTCCCGCCTCGCCAATGGCTGTGATGAAGACGTCGACGCCGCGGAATGACGGCATATCTTGGGTGGGCGACTGGAGCCTAGGGAAGCGCTACAAGGTGGACAGGCTGATTGCGACGCTATCATGGTCTGGCCATGTCTTTGCAGTCCGCAGAGAGACGGGCCTGCAGGGGAAAAAAAAGCAAGGAATAAGAGAATAATTGGGACGAATAAGTACTGCGTGAGGGAATGTCGTAGCACAGGAAGAGCGAAGTGAGGGTGGTCTGGAGCGGACTCGCTTTGGTAGAGCGTATCCGGCTGCGATGGACTGGCGAGGTGCTTTGGTCTGACGCCGTGTTTGTGCTGTTAGATGGTTGGTGTGATAGAAAAGGAAAGGAACGCTGTGGCGGCACGGCCCGTTGGGTTGTCCTCCATGTGGTTCGCCCAGCGCGGGTGACGGGCGAGTGAAGCCAGCCAGAGAGCTCTGGTGAGGTCGTCTGAATCCGTTGCTGGCTTCTCCCAATTCCGTCCCTTTGCGCACACACGCAACCCATTGCAATCACACTTCATGGATGCCACGGGTCCATCCAACCTGACCTGGGACGCCTCTGGACTGATCCGCTTCCGCCCACGCAGTGACACGAGCCAGCAAAGAATCCCAGCTGGTCTGGTAAACGGCTCAATGCATTCGACGGGCCATATCAAAGGCCTTCCCTTTGCTCATCCGAACAAATACACGCTGCACGCACTCTCTACCTCCATCTTCCATACCCCAAACCCAATCCCCCATGTTCCCCTTCCGCCATTCCTTCTCCCAGTGCTCATCATGTCCCCAGCACTTTCGCCGTGTCCTCCTCCTTGCCTATTAGCCCAAGATTCCGTATCTGCCCCGCGGTCGGCGGGTCTCCCCTGGGGTTCGCCCTCTCCGCCTTCCGGTAAGCCAGCTGGAGGGCTTGAGCACGCGCGCGCTGTGCGGGTGGTAGAAGACGGTCAGCCAAGCCCATCCACATGATAGTCCAGGTCGCATATCCCCCTCCCTCAGGTATCCCCTAGATCCATCAGCTGCGCACCTCTTTCTTGTGGTGCAGGCACTCGTAGTAGTCCTCCAGAACCGGGCCGCACTTCTTCCTGCTCTGCGGGTCGTCGGCCGAGCTGTTGATCACGTAGCAGGCCATCACCTCCTGCCAAAAGGGGAAGCACCGCGAGGGGCCTAGATGGGGGCGGGTGGTGTGGTTGGCCGTCGGTTAGACAGGTTGGACAGGTTGGACAGGAGCACGGCAGCGGGTCGGGCCTCGTCGGCGCCATTGGGTCTCGTCGGCGCACTCACCCCCGTTCAGACCGTATCCGGACGCCATGGCGAGGTGTTGGTGGTAGCTCCCTGCAGTGTGTGTGCGGGCAGCTGTCGTTCGTGGCTTTGGTGAGCTCTCGATTGGTGTCGGCAGCGAAGTCAAGCGTCGGAACGCGGCTCGGACCCACCTCCAGGCCTGGCTGCTTGTGGTGGCCTGAGGCACAGACGCAGCAACGTGGGGGACATTTGGTTGCCAAGGGTTAGGGTGTTGGGGCCGTCTGGACCACAAACCACACGGCAAGACGCCACATGCCAACTAATGTGTACCGTTCGTTATGTCACCACCCACCACAACCCGCCTTTGTAGCTTCACCCTGCATATCTGTGCCCGACAGCAGCCCCAAAACAAAATAAAGCCAGATTTCCCATCATAAACATGTGTGCATGACGCAGAACGAGCTGCCGTCACCTTTCGAGTTAGCAACAGTAGCACTCGTCCTTAATCCTTTGCGAGGCGCCATGCCAAGCGCCGGCGCAATATGGAATCCTCCCCTGACTTCTCGCCGCCCAAGATCGTACTCCTGGCAGTCCACCTAGCCGCCACCGCCGACATTACCGGTCTGACATATCTGGCTAGCAAGCACAGCCAGATATTGCGCAAGGAAATTTTGCTGCGCATTCTCCTCACATATCTCCCTGAAACTCTACGAAGCGCCGATTACGTCCCGTTCCTCGTCGAGCTCGAGTCGGACAACCCTCCGCGCGACGACGATGGCGACGACGGTGAAAAGCCCGAGGCCCACGTCGAGTTTGACGTCCCCTCCATCGAGGAGCTTCCAGACGACCTGGCCGCCAAAAAGGTCAGAAAACTGCGGCTGCTGCACCTCTCATGGCCCGAGGCGCCCACCGAGATAGCGCCCGACGATCACCTGTCGCTCTTCCTGTTGCGGCGCGCATACAGGATAGACGAGGAGGCAGGGTTGTTGGACGAGGTACCCGGACTTTTTGCGCCCTTTCTGGACCACTCGGCCTACCTCAGGACGTGGTTGATCTCGGTGGTTTTACCCCTGATACGACGAAATTTCGCCTACTATCCCCAGCAGCCAATAGAACAAACGCTCGCCGAGTTCGAACGCCTCCCAGATCGTTCCGCTGTCTCTCTGCTCCTCTCACAAACCGGCACCCAGGAGGACAGCCCGTACGACGTCGTGGGCAGGGATCTGCGGGGTATGGTTGGCCCATGGCTGCACAACGACGTGAGGTGGTCCGGCAGCAAGCGGCGGGGCTCGACGGCGTCGTCCAAGGCCACAGCCTCACCATCAGCCGAGACCGGAGGCCAAGGTGGCACGTGCCCTGGCTGGGACGAGATGCTCGAATGGCTCACCTCGCACGCCTCCAAGCCGTCGTGGAAGGTCGCTGTGGGTGCCATAGAGCAGTGGGATGGCCCCGAAGATGCCGACCTGGGCGAATACGAGGGCTTGGCTTGGCTACAGGAGGAGCACCAGCAGTACATGGAGCGGAGGTATGCCCGCGCAGCGCTGGCCTCGGCGTACCTCGTCCCTGAAGCATCCGTCGAGGCGCTCAACGGGATCCACACTATTGTGACCAAAATCATGACTCTTTTGGATGAAGACCCCTGCCCGCCGCTGAACACGGCCGCCTCGCTTCTTGCTCCCATGGCGGTGCTGGACGGCGCCTCGGCCGAGATATTGCTTCCCAAGAATGCCACTCACCTCCGGACGGACCCTTTGGACAATGCGAACCCACTTACAACCCCATCGGCGCCCGCCGCTCGCCTTTTGCACGCCGCCAGCCTCAGCGCCTTCATCATGTCCCGCGCAGGCGCCCCCTGCACCGCCAGGCGAGCGGCCGAGCTGTGCCTGTTGCAGAACGAGCGGGACCAGAAGGCCGAGGCCTCGAAGCTGCTGCACGCTGTCGCCAACAACGGCCCCAAGACGGACGACAAGTACTGGATTAGGGCCAGGAACGAGATAATGTGGCTCCGCGACTGGGGCACCGAGGAAAACAACGAAACCACAGCCCTGCCTGGCAGCGGCAAGGGCGTATTTGGACAGGTCAAAAAGGAGTTTATCGAAGTTGAGATGTTGAAGGCACTCCTCAACAACACCAGTACGGCCGTCCACGCAACCCGCCCCAGGAAGCCTCGGCGCGTATTGTCCTGCAGCTCGCTAACCTGATCACTCTGTCGAATTAGGATACTCGCTTGCCAAGTCCCTATATGAAGACTCGACGGACCAGCCATTACCGCGCAAAACCATGCAAGACACAATATTCGCATGTGCGATGAGCGCTTACGACAATGCCTCAAATCCCAACCGCGGTAGGGGTGGTCTCAAGAAGTGCGACGAAATGTGAGTTCTATGCCTTGCTAGGCGGTCCTCTAGAGATGAGCTGGCGCGACCCTGCGAGACCTTCTACTCGCTAACACGATGCCAGTATCCACTCGTTCCCCAAGACAGTCGAGAGGGCGCTGCCAGCAACCCAGAGGTTAGAGGCGCTGCTCCGGACCACGCAGGGACTGAGCCAGTACCGGTTGGTTCTCAAGCAGGGCGAGCCATTTGCCCCCGTGGTCCTCAGGGTGCACAAGGACCCTGTCTTGATCGTGGAGAAGGTGCTGGAACAAAATCCAAAGAGCTATACCAACATCCAGGACTTGATCGACGTTGGAACAAGTATGGTTGAAGCAGGGCTCACGGTGCGAGACAAGGCTGAGCATCCGGCCCTAACCCCTGAGCAAGAGCCAGCCCAACGCTTCATTGCCGAAAGGCGAATTACGGCCATGTGCATCGACGCTGCGCTGACCGAAGATGACTTTGAGACGGCATACTCGTATGTTGTCAACCGCCTCCCTGCGGTGAGCCCACCCTCTGCCCCCGGACCTTCTTCCCAGGCCGCGGCGGACGAGTGGTCATGGAAGGCGGCGCTGCAGGCGGGTAAGTACCGCCGCACGACGCAGACTGTACGGCCGACACACCTGGGCACAGGCAGCGGCAACCCCGAGATCCGGCACCTCGAGCAGCGCATCGAGTGCCTGTCGGCGGCGCTGCGCATTGCCCCGACCGCGACGCTGCAGGAGATACTTAACGCGTTCCGGCGCTGCGAGGAGGAGCTCGACGTGGCGGTCCGAGCTGAGGCCGAAAGCGAGCGCGCCTGGGACGACGCGGGCGACATGCAGGCCATGCCAGGGGGCTTTTCTGCCGCCACCTCGGGCCCCGCCGGTGTCAGTCGCGCGGCGGGCAGCTTCTCCAGTGCGGCCAGGCAACAGACGGACGAGGCGCCGTTATCGCTCTTCGACCTGTCGCGGGCGACGGCGCGGGCGGCGCAAAAGAACCTTTCGGCGCTATCCAGTCTCAAACGGCAGCCCGCGAACGCGAGGGATGCCTCCCCAGCCGCCGGCAGCGTGCGAAGCGGCGCAGATCACAACGAGACGTCGCTAGTATCTTCCCTAGCGTCGCTGACTTCCTTATCCATGTCGGCTTCGTCGTCGTCGCAGGGCGTCGACCACTCGGACGGCGAACCGCGGACGCGCAAGAGGGACCAGTTCAGGGAGGCGGCCGTCGGGACACTGGTGTCGGGTGTCGGATGGCTCGTTGGCGCGCAGCCTACGAACCCCGGTCAGGAGAGGGACTGATGCAACGATTCTCGCCACGCTGTTGTGTTTCTTGAGCTCGGGTCCATGCCCTCGGGATACGTACTTGCATTTTATACATGATTCCCTAGAGGTTTAATAAAGCAAGATTGACGGCGATGGAACTCCCAGTGATGTGACAAGTCTCCTGATTTGGCCTTGGACTGTGAAGAGCCTTGGAATACCAAATGCCCATCTTATGAAAGGCTTCATAGCCGAGTTTGATAGCTCCATGAGGTCGGCCGGGTGGTATCGGCCGAGACGCACAATAAGCCGCGCTCCACATCGGCCTTTCAAGGCGGCTACCCCCGACGCACCTAGGATATCGCTCGGCTCTATCTGGACAGGTGTCACTCGCCCAAATATTAGCAAAAGGCCTCGTGTATGCACACAAGGCGTCGAGTTCAACAACCCCGAGCTCCCTCTCTTTTTCGTGCTCCCATAGAAATTACCAGTTCCAGCGCCAAGACGCCAAAGCCAGGGACGCGAGACAAGCTGCCGAGCGAGACTGAGCTACCAGTACATCAAATTTCCACCGTCCCGAAACCGGGCGTCGTCATCGAGGGGCGCATCTCTGCTACAGTCGTCGTCCTCGTCGTCGTCGGCTCACTTTGGAGAGGGATCACCGTGCTCCGGGGGCCAGGGGCGCGCCCTGTTTTGCTTGGCGCGGCCCAGGTGGATGAGATGTCATTTGGAATGCCCACCCGCCGCCGCAGCCTTTCTTTCCAGTTGTCAGTGACAGTTCTTGATGTTGTGGGCAGTGGCTACACCCCATTTGGGATGTGCGTCAGCCTAGACGGCGATGCCGAAGATATTTTGTTTCTTTGAGGCTTTCTCCTTGCTTATGTTCCGTGGTTTGGTTTCTATGCTCACGCCCACCCACTCAGCCACCACCAAAAGCTGAGAGCTTTGCACCGCAGTCCGGTTGGATGGCAGTCTTCGGGAGGGAGGTGAGGAGGTACCAAAGGTTGAGTAGAATTGTTAGTTCGGGAGCTTTCTATTGTATTTTATTTTTCCCTGTTGTCACTCCTACTGCTAATCTTATTTTTTATTCTTATTTTTTATTCTTATTTTTTATTCTTATTTTTTATTCTTATTTTTTATTCTTAGTTTTTATTCTTCTTCCTATGCCTATACCTTGAAGGAACTACCATCCTTTTTGTGGTGGGTGTGGATGGATACATTGGTGCACGTGCAACCCCCCACGTACTCGACTGTATACCAGCTGACGGAAGCCAGGATGCGGGGAACATGACCAAGAATTGCGATGAAAGAAGAAAAAAGCCCGCCTCCCTGACCACTATTCAAACCATGTAGCCACAGTTCCAGAACGCACGCTGCAGTTGGGGGTGGTGTTTTGGTTGCCGTGATGACTCCTCAGGCATCATCAGCCCTCCGGCTGCAATGCATGCGCCGTCGATCCCCATCCAGCTCCCGCCAGTCCCGTGGGCCAAAGGGATGGGAACGAAAAAAGACGGGCCACTCAGGGGCGCCGATGTCCGGCGGTGCAGTAACCCCGAGCCCCCGAGAGCCGAGAGGAGAGGATGTCAGCAACCCCCGGGGTCTTGGCAAAGTGCGAATGGCGGCCGGAAGACTCACACGCTAGGACCAGACCACCACCGTTTGGGGCCCCACATGCCCACAACGTGGGGGAGGAAGGGAGGCGCAAAAAAAGCAACCCAAAGGGCGCGAGCACATCAGGGCCCCTTTTTCCAGTCGATGCCTAGTCAGGCGACCAGGTATCCGGATTAGGTAACTCGCATAGCTTCAGAGTAGGTACCGGCTAGTGGGTGATGGGTTTGCGTATAGTCGGTGCACCATTGTGAGTCATCGTGCATTGCGTTGATCTGAGTGTGTGTATGTGTGTGTTCGACGCCAGAGTCAATGTTTCGCGAATCCCACTGCGTTTCGTTCCGTGCTACCACACGAGTAAGGGCCCCCGGGATCAGGCTGTTGTCGTCGTCGCTGCTAATCCGCCCATCTCCGAGAGAGAGAGAGAGAGCTCGGGCCCCCAAAGTTTAGGACGAGACGACAAGAGTTCGTCCCAAGCCCGTTCGAATCCCGCTTCAGGCGTTATTGCAATGGTGGCTGGAGATGCGTCATGGCCTGCAGGGACCTCGCCAGAACCATCCCATTACACACGAGCTGGTCGTCTCTTGGGACATGGGTGTTGGTTGGTTGGTATGTAGATGGGCTGGCACGCCCACCACTTTTACTCCTATTCTTATTCATTATTTTGTACTTTTTCTCATTTTTGTTCCTATTCTTATTCCAAAAGGAACTGTCCACCGCATTGGAACTGTGCGTGCCTGGTCGTTTTCTTCCCGCGCAGCCAATGGAACCCGTTCCCAAGGCGCCGGGTACCAGATCCATCAGCCTGTGCCTTGGCCATGGACAAAAATGCCCGTCAGCTGGCCGCCATTGGCCTGATGCGATTTCAGCTTGGTTGCGGGTCAGCCTAGGGCACAGCCTCGCTGTGCGGGTGCTTCACAGGGCCTGCGTGTTTTAGGAGCAGGTACCTGGGCTATAGCAGGCGAGACCCAACCCACGCGTACAGTATGGTCAGTACCGAAGCTATTCCCAGAGTAGGCGACTGTTATGTAAGGTCCCCCTCCCTCCTTCTGACCCCGTCGACATGAAGGCACGGTCAAGTGCAGGTCTGTGGTGTGGCATAGCCTGGGCGGCCGTGCGTCATCGGATAGAGTAGCATCGAGTTGATATTGAGAATGGCCCCAATGGGAGATTTGGCAGTCGCAAGCAAGTGCGTGTACATCACGCACCACCCCGCGGCTCAAGGCAGACGGCAGTCGGCGTAAGTTGCTAAGACCACACACACACACACACACACTTGCACACCACCTCCCTGCCAGGTAGGTACCTAGGTACCTATACACCACAAGCACTTGCGCGGCTCCGGAACGACATGCCAGGGCTGAGATTCCGGATCATCGCATCAATCGAGGCACCACCACCGCCGCGCCGCGCTCGGTTCCTGGCACGCGCACGCACAATATCCACCAGTCAATTGATTCGCCTGGGCCGAGATTGCTGCCATGGATATGTCGATAATTTTGCGGCGGCAGTCGCCGGCGCGTGCCGACTCGACGAAAAACCTCAGGCGGTTTGAGGACGTGCAGGATGCTGGAGTTGGGGCCAGCTGACCTGAAAAAGGGCATGGGATGGGATTTTGCGGGAGAAAAAAGAAAGACGTTGCCCTGCATCGTGTTCACTGACGGGAATCGGGCGTGGAGCAAAGGCCACCATCAAAAATGTCCCCACACTTAAGCTTATCCTGATGCGTGCAAGGTTGTGTCGTCTAATTCTGGTACCTTACCGTGTGCAGCACGGCCCTGAGAGTGGATGTCCGCCCCAGCAAGACCTGGAGGGGAGCCTCTCGCTCGGGTGGAAACGGCGACCCATCAATTCACTCTTGTCCCACAAATCGAAACAAACAAGGATTTGGACCCTTCATTCTTCAATGCTTCAATTCTCAGCTCAATCCCTCCTCCCATGACCTCTTTCTCGTCTCCCTTGATGCTCTTGGTATCCAGCCAATCTGCCCTGTTCCGTTTCTTTTTCTTGCCCTCTCAGACCATCAGCAGGCGGGATGCACGCCAAGCAAGGCTCATCCCCCGCGCATGCTCTTTCCTGCGCTTCGTAGCCCGTGGCCCGTATTTCGTGTTTCTTTCTTCCCTGCCGACGCTAAGTTCAGCTGGCGGCTGGGGCCCCTTGCTGGCCTCTGTTTCGACTCTAGCTTCCCGTCCAGATGCCCCTCGCGGATCAGATTACCCGTCTCCGACTATAGGAGATACCACCTGCCCATGTACCTACCAAGTGGCACACACGTAGGTGCGAGGCTGGGTCCTCCCCTCACTCCGTTTGACCGCGAGTGAGTCTTTCACTCATCCCACGAAGTGGACTCCCATTCCACGTTACATGCATGCACGTTGCGGCTCCACGCCAATGGTGGATGCGTCCCGTCTCTTCTCTCGTTTGGGCTGTCCATTCCATATTTCCTGCTATTTACCTACCTATCCTCTACATTCTCTGTCTTGAACAAGAGGTATTCTGTCACCTCGACCACCCCTCCATGCACCCCCTTTTTTTACACTCCGCCGTTGACTCCCTTCACACCACCACCATCTGCATACCTTGGTACACACTTACACCCTGGTTCCCGTGCCCCGATCCTACGGTCCGCCCCAGGTACGCCGCTATACCCTGGGGGCCCCGCTGCCGTTGACAATTATGTACTTCCTCTTTTATGAAGCCGGCCATGGCTTGGCTGTCTACCTAGCTGGGCCCACAAAGCCACGAACCATATCACTGCCATAGTGGGGGCGCCGCAGACCAGGCTTCTTCGTCATCTGCCCCTTGACAAATGCAGCGTCACCTCCTCCCGGATGCTCTCCCCTTATGGTCCACTCTCCCGCCCAAGCCAAGCCTGTCCGCGATAATCTTTCCGCGTCATCACCCTCAGGCACCCTGTTTGAGAAGCATCCCTCGCGACCCATCTATACACCCCTCCCGCTGCTGGTGGAGCATACTGTGACTCGACCGCGTCCTCCTCCCGGGCTAAGCCCTATGAAGTCTTGTAACCCCGTCAGCCTCGTGATTTGTGATACCTCTGGAGGCAGGTAGCTACCGACGTCGTCTGGCGCGCTTCACCTCTCTGGAACCGGTACAATCTTGCCGGGATCAGGACTCTTGCTTATTTAAGGATCTACGGGCTCCCGCTTCCGGGGCCTATATCAACGACGACATCATCAACCCAACGCACTCCCGTTTGACACTGCATTCGACCATCCTACCCCGAAACCCCTACTCGGTAGCCTATATACATCCTCTGATAAGCGATCTCGAGCCGGACGTGGAACTTATAATATCTGGCGACTGAGTCCTTCTCTTTGGCACATGTGAGCCGGCCTTTGTTCTACTTGTGCTCTATTCTACATGTCATCCCAACATTCTCAAGGCCGAGAGAACTTTGAGGAGACGACATATCAAGCCCAGTCTGCTCACCAGCAAGGCGCCACAGAAAAGTCCAGGGGGAAACGGAAAAGCAAGAGCAAGAGCAAGAGCAAGACCGACCAGTCGGGATCCGATACAGAGACCGAAGGTCCTAAAATGTCTTCCCGCTCATCAAAAGCGTCGTCCGAGTCCGAGTCGACCAAGAAGCACAGAGCCCCTCAGAACGAGGACTGGTCCGAGGTGACCGACCCCGAGGAGAGGAGGCGCATCCAGAACCGGATCGCCCAACGCAAGTTCCGTAAGTATTCTATACCGCTATGCCGCTCGCCGCTTTAATATAAAAATAAAATTATATATGCTGACTAACAGAAACAGGTGGCAAGGCCAAGGAGCAGAGGGAAAAGAGCGAGAGGGACCAGCGTAATGTGGAGCACGCGGGCGATAGCTACCGCGTCCCCGAGGCTGGCGAGATGACGGCCGAGGAGCAGGCCGCGCTCTCGGGCCTGCCCTGGGGCGGCCTCAACGTACAGTACGCCATGGGCCGCGGCCCGGAGAGCGGCTACGGCGGCGGGCGCGCCGCCAGCCACCGCGCCTCGGACCCCGTCTACACCTCAGACAACAACACGCAGTACCTCAGCCCCTACACGGCCAGCTACCAGTACACGGGCAGCGCCGCCTGGGACGACCGGACTGGGAGCAGCAGCCCCGGCGGCGACCAGCTCTACTACGATAACGGGGCGACGTCGTACTACTACGACTACGACACGAGTCCCAGGCAATGAACGAGAGCGCGCCATCGATCCTCTCTTCTTGCTTGTTTGCTTTCAACTAATTTTTCTGTTTGGGTATCTCATTTATCAGACCCGATCGAGGTCTGACGGTAGCGACTGGAATTTGGCATATGTGGATCAGGGCCAGGCTATAGGGCATATTAGCCCAGAAGATCACTCAGATCCTGATGGCGTGTTTTTGCTTTGGTCGTTTTTCTTCTTGTTTTTATTGGACTGAGAGGGACTGTATCTGCGCTTCACGCTGCTTTGTTTCCTGTTTTTTTTTCCTCTTCATTATTACCCTACCCCGCTCTGCTGTTTGTACAACACTCTTATCCCGCCTTCTTTTTCCACTTGTCTTTTTCCACTCACTGTTGTTTTACTACAAAGTCTGTCCTAGACCATTTCCTTCAATACTGGGACAATCGGTTAGAGCGACATCTCCCCAAAGATAGACACCCCTGGAGCCGGCGGCCAGAGACGGCCAGGTCGAGCGCCTGGGGGACGGCAAACAGGCAGGGGAACCAACCAGCCATGCAGGCGCTGGGAACCTACCTGCCCAATAGCTAATCTCAACACACCATACCTACCTATTTTCTCACCCGGAACGCATGCGTGCACTTCCATGGACAGGCGACTCGCTTTCGCTTGCTCGCGTGCTGCAGCTCCGCCACATTCTCGCTTGGCGATTGCAATCCCGGAAAAAAAGGTCCAGCCCAGTCTCTAAAGCAACGACAGGAAACCCCAGCCAAACTAAAACCATGGCACCTTTTTTTCCTCCTCGGCCTTGTCAGGCAGCAACTCTCTCTCCTTCGAGGTCGGGTACATTGAACGTGCAGTAGTGTCGATTGTCAATCGGCCCGCTTGAAGGTGCTTGAGTCCAGGGACTCTTAGCGTATGCCCTGGGGTTGAGCCCCTCGGATTTAACCAGGGAACAGCTCTCGCACTCGGCCGAGTTTGGTCGCCTGGCTCCTGTGCCACCCTTCACCGAATGAGATGAAGGGCGCTAATATAGAGCGTGCAGATCTCAAGGTGCCCCGATACCTGGCTATTCACGGCAATGAGAGAGCTTGCAAATGTGCCCCCCTGCTGAAAAGTGCACAGTCGCACGCAGTTGCAGCCATGTGCGCCCCCCAATCTCCAACTTTCGTGATTTTCTACACACCACCACCATCACCACCATCACCACACAGTCACATCTCGTGAGGCCAAATGTTCATTTCAACGGGACCTGTAGCCTGTGCAAAGACACAAGGGCACACGCGACTACCTCGGCCTACACACGTAAGGCAGCCCAGGCCAAGCGTCGCAGCGTGATTGCTTTCAGCCGCGCGAGCCCCCCCAATCTCTCCACGCTGATTGGCGCGGAGGCGGGCGCCGGCAGGGGCACCCGCACCACACACGCGCGTTCCTTCGGAGTGTGTGTGTGTGTGTGTGTGTGCACGCACGCCGGGCTGGCAGCACCGCCCTCGGTCAACGTGTCCTGAACCGCCTGTCAATGCTAGGGCTGGAGAGCCGCGTGGTTTTTTTGGGGGGTTTTTTTTGGCAGCCTAGGGGGCTCGTGCTTGTGTGTGATGAAGGGATGAGCGTGAAGCGAGTGAGGTTTGAGCTTCAGGGGGGTCGCGGAAGGACGTTGGCGGGTGTGGTGAAGCACCGTCGTCACGTCACGGGCGGCTTCTCAAGCCAGGCGTACCCTGTCGAAAGAGGAAGCATGCGGCGAACAGTAACACAAACCGTGCCTGCCAAGCCATGTATGGAATCTGGCTGAAGGCATTCGGAAGGCCGAGTGGCCGACAGGTGGTCGACAGGTGGCCGACAAGCTGATGTGGACGTTATGGCCAGGCACCTTAGGCAGCAGCTTTCTCACGGCCGGGTCTCGCCAGGTCCGGCCCCCATGACGTATGCCGTGTGTCGACAAGGCGCCCGCCCACGTTGCGTGGGACGATGGGAGGGGGTCGGTGAGCCGGGTGGAAAGGACGGAGCGAAACAGACGGACACGCGGGGGCTCCTTAATCTCCGGCTCCTGAGCAAAAGCCGCAGCCCCGCCGACGTGTCGTCCATCCTGGGCTCGCCGTTGGGAGGAGGCACCCCTCACGGCAAATGACCCGTCGCGCTGGTGGCCTTGCAGGAAATGGGGATGGGGCTGTGCAGATGTGGAAGTAACCTGAGGCGTCGAGGGGGGAGTCACCGCGTAATGTCTTTCCTTGGGCAGTACCACCTGTTGAATGCAAAAAGAGCCGAGCGCGAGGAAGGAGCTCGGACCGACACGCAAAGCCCGAGCCAAGCTTTTGATGGGACCCGTCACTGGCTCGTCATGGAGACGGCCTGTTGGTTCACAGTGTGAGATCCAACAATTCCCCACAGCTTTACCTGCCCCCTGCGCTTCCCGTTTGGAGATCGCCCAACTTCTCACTGGGCACGTGGTTTCGCCTTGCTTGGGGGTCATGCATGGGGGTTGCTAGCGCGGTTGCGCTTATCGTCGCCCCAGAATATAGCTTATCGTGCCTGACCGCCCGGCAGAAACATGGGGAGCAGTTCGTGTCGCGACAAAAAAAAAAAGTTGGTCCCCGCTCGGCTCGAGGCTGGCAAAATCAAGGCTTCACATACCAACAACCGCAATACAGCGTCCAGATTCGGTCAAAGCCTTCCTCAACGCAAGCGAATTTACGCAAAAATGTCCAGCAACGCCAATGGGGCCGGGGACGGTCCTTGGATCAAGCAGGACCCTGCACAATTGAAGAGAGATGCCGAATCCAAAGGTAGCCTCTTCTCCCAGTCCCGGATCGCGACAAGGCCGGCGCCATTCCAGCCATAAACGCCAAGCATCTTTACTGACCATGCCGGCCGAGCGCCGTGACCAGAGGCCAAGCATGCAAGAAAGGAGGCCATGCGCAAGGCGCGGGCCGAGGCCCGCAAGGAGAAGCGGACGATAAAGGCCGAGGCCAAGAGGGCGCGCAAGGTCAACGTCAAACGGGCGGGCAAGTGGACCTCGGAAGCCCGCAAGGCGGAGCAGAAGATAAAGAAGGCCGCCAACAGGCCCGAGAAGACGGCCAAGCGCATCCGCCGCATGGGGCTGCGCGCCGAGAAGCTCAAGGCCCAGGCCATCAAGCTCATGGCCGACGCCGAGAAGACCAAGGCGGCGTACGAGGTGCTCATGAAGAGGGAGCAGGAGCGCATTGACAAGGACAAGGCCGACAAGAAGGCCGAGGGGGCCGAGAGGAGGGAGGCCCAGGGTCTGGGTGAAGGCGACTTTATGAGCCTGGATGTCGACACGGACGACGAGGTTGCGCCACCCAGCAAGCCTGCTTCCAAGAAGGGCAAGGTTATTGAGATCGAGAGCAACGACTCTGATTCATCCAGCGGCGAGGGCGATTCGAGCGAGGACGAGTCGAGCGAGGACGAGTCGAGCGAGGAGGAGAAACCCGAGCCAAAGTCCAAGTCAGAACCCAAGTCGCGCGACAAGGCGAAATCGGACCCAAAGCCAGAACCCGTCCCCGCAGCTGTGCCTGAAGAGAAGAAAAAATCAAAGAAAGACAAGGCAAAGGACAGCAAGAAGGCGACGGAGGAGAAGCCAACGGAGGCGGCGGTGGTTGAAGAGCAAAGCACCAAACACATCTCTAAGGAGGCGAAGAAGGCTCGCAAGGCGGAGAAGAAGAGAAAGCGGGAGGAGGAGGAGGCACCCGCTGCATCCCCCGACGCCGAGGAGGAGGCTGCCCCCAAAAAGCAAAAGAAGCCGAAGAAGGATAAGAAGGACAAGAAAGACGAGGATGCGACACCTTCCGAGAAGCCGGCCGCCGCCGCCGCGCAATGGAACGTCGACGCTCTGGAGGGCGGAGTCGCGCGGCAAAGCAAATTCCTCAAGCTACTCGGCGGTACCAAGGGCGACGCCGCATCCACTGCCACCGGAGGCGGGTCCACGGCCCAGGCCGGCAATGCCGGCCGCTCCGAGGCCGACCTTCTGTACCAGTTTGACTACGGAATGAAGATGAAGAACGAGATGGGCGGGCAGAAGAGGGGATTGGGGGCGTGAGCGTCATCGCGCCTGCCACGAGTTGTTCCTGTTCGAAATACCCTTGAAGGTTGCATCAACCATACGCACGCCACTCCCGCGCTGTGTCAGGTTCGGAGTTTGTAGCCCGGCGTCTAAAAATCATTACAACAATACTTCAAATAATTACAAGATGACTTGCTTACCGGGTACTCCCTGATACCTGCACCCTGAAACAAGTCGGTTCATATGTAAACCAGCCTTGAACACAACATGTCAAATTAACGCCAACCGGTGTCAGATCTAAGATAGATGACAAAACATGAGCCAACAGGATAAAGAGGGGAGATACAAGGGCCCTCGCGTTGACGGCGCAAAAAAAAATATCAAGAAAAAAAAAAACGTTGCTAAAAGGCCCGCGTCATCACAGCTGAAGCGAGCCCATCCGACGTGTGCAAGCCACAACTGCCGCCAGCTTGGCTTCCAACTCTATTGCTTCCCCCCTCGCAGCTCGCAACGAGAGTAGACATATGACCGCCTGTAGCCGGACAAGGGGACGAGGCGCGACAAAAGCCGAATGCGGCTTCCCGGGCCGAAGGTTTAAAAAAAAATGGAAAAGGGGGAGCTGCGTGTATATGGCTTTTCGTGTATTATGGTTCGAAATTGGCCACCCGGGGGATTTATGACAAGTCGAAGTCCCTGTCACCGCAGGGACTAGACCTGTTATAAGTCTTTGGTGGGCTTTTTTTTGTTGGTGCCTGCTTTTTTTTTTTTTTACAGGAAGAAGCGCGAGAAGACCTCAAAGACCAGGCCACCGAACACGACGAAGCCGAGGAGACCTATTGGCGGGAGCGAGCAGTTTATGTCAGTAGTTGCTCCGCCTTCTGTAACTACAGTCGCGACACGCCGGGCGCATGTCGGGGGTCGAGTGTGCGCAGCATCCCAGAGACATACCGAGCCAGATGGGCGAGATGGGCGACTTGTGGTTCAGCTCTTTGCTGGCGCGCTGCTTGATGTCCGTCTCGGACTTGCCGCGGCGCGCCTCCTGGTCCTTTTGGAACTTGGCGTTCCGGCGCCGCTGCTCGGGGGTTTGCGCCTGGAGGGGGAAGGGGAGTGTCAGTCAGGGGGGTTGTGGTGCGGGTTGGTTGGGGGTTTTTGCCGGCCCGCGCCGGGGCAGATGCGCGGCTGCGGCGGCCCGGGGCCCGGGGACGGATGGGGGGGGGGAAGGGGTGAGGAGGGAGAACTGACCATTGTGTCGGACGGTGTGTTTGTTGTATGTATGCGATCGCGCGCGCGGGTTGTGGTGACGCGGGGGGGCGGCGGCGACAAGGGGGCGGAATTGCGTTCGTGTAGGTGTGACGACAGGACAGAGCTCGTGGGTTTCTGGTCGTTGGCGAGGAAGGAGGAGATACGGCGGTAGAAATACAGCGGTCGGGGGAATCCTTCGTTGACGTCCTGTGACTCTTTTTTTCTTTTCTCCTGTCTTGGGGACAGATCTCAGTGTTCGATGGTGTTCTCTCGAGGCCAAGGAGAAAACAAATAGCCCGTTGGGGTTTTTTTTTTTTTTTAGCGCAGCGAAAACAGAGACCCAAAAGCTCGTGCCTGGCCCTTTTTTTTCCCAGATGCCACCTTTCCAGCAACGGAATGTCGTCCCAAATGGCGCGGGCGCTGGGAAATGGCAGGGCGGATCCCCACACCTCCCTCCCCTTGCTCCCGGGCCCCGGCCTGTGGGTCCGGTGCGGGGACGGGTCGGCTGATTGGCTGTTTCTAGTGGGAAAATCATCTCAAGGGTTCTTGCTGGCGCCGCTCGCTTGCCAAAAACAGAGAGAGAGAAGGTTCGTGTTTCGATGGATCGATAATCCACACCAAAAAAGACAGCTACACAAAAAAAAAGAGCCACAG